CACTCACCCCGGGATATGTTTTTATTTTTAGAATTTGTACATTTACACGTGCCTGCAGCGAGGGGGGAGGGTGGCAGACGTCTGGAGAGCACGGATCTAGATGACCCCCCACCCCAGGCACGGGCCCTACTGGCACTCACCCCATTGCACTGAGACTAGGGTTACTGCGCGCCTGCTAGACCCAGAAATGGTGCTGGCAGCCAGGGAGACAGGGCTGGGTCAGAAACACCCGCCCTGGTCTCTAAGCCTTCGCCACTGGTTTGAATCTCTCCTTCCCTCGATTTCCACGGCACTGTGTTTCCCTAATCCATGCTTCTTTTTTTAAAAATGTGTTTTTATTGATTTCAGAGAGGAAGGGAGAGGGAGGGAGAGAGAGAGAAACAGCCATGATGAGAGAGAATCATGGATCGGCTGCCTCCTGCACACCCCACACTGGGGATCAAGCCCACAACCCGGTCATGTGCCCTGACCGGGAACCACACCCTGACCTCCTGGGTCGTGGGTAGATGCTCACGTCCTGAGCCCCGCCGGCCGAGCCGCGCCTGGGTTCCTCGGGGCTCCGTGACCCCTCGGCGCTGGCTCTTTCGACTGATGACGAGGAAGGAATTGAGCAACGTGTGACCTGCCCCGGGACGTGCTGTGTGGAAGCGTGACTCACTCAGGCTTCCAGTAACTTTTAGTAGCTTCCGCATTAATAGAAAGCATCTGCGATGAGGGAATGAAAACAGCATTCCCGACCATTTCACATCGTTCCCGGGCGCGAATGTTCTTATCAGAATGGAGTCATTCAGACACAGCACCCCTGACGTCAGCCTCAGGACTGACATCTCTACGCTTCATGGGGTTTCTTTTGGGGAGAGAGGAGGTTTGGGCAGCCTTCGATTTCTGTAAATTATCAGAAAAACGCTCCTGAACGCGGGTGGGAACCGGCTCCCGTCTGGGGGCGGCCGGTGCAGGGGCAGCCTGTTCCCACACGTCTTAGTAAACCAGCCTTCACACTCGGTGGGAGATTTGGCTACCGTTGGGCCAATACAACCGAGAACAGGAAGGCCAGGAAAGCTGCCTGCAGTTCTTTCAGACAGAACCAGGACGGGTTCTGCTACTTTTCAATCGTGTGTGTAACCCAGCAGGTTCCGCTAGCTGTGAGAAACCGCGCTGCCGCCCGCAGCTCACCTTGCAAATTGAGCTTCTCACAGGCGGCCGTGGGCAGGTGGAGCGGACATCTGTACACGTCGCCCATGCGGTTGTCTGGAGAGCCACTCCACGGCGAGCCAACCAGCAACCTGCAGACGGGAGTGCGTTCTCATGAGATACGAGACGTTGGCTAGTGCTTCTCACAGAGAACGCTGACCACAGAGCCGTGGAGAACCACCTTTGATGTCCATTTCTCACGAGTGACTCGTCCTTTTTGTTCAGCTATAAATCGGTCTCCTTCCTCCCTCTCTGCTCCTCAGGGTGCTGGGTGGGGCCTGTAATGCGGCTGTCTGGCCCCGGCACCCTGGGAGCCTCTCTGAGCAGAGCTGAGCAATGGGCACGTAACGCCGGCCCCAATGTCAGCCACAAGGAAAGGATTTGATCATCTGTCTATGAAACTTAAATCCTTCCATAAGCCATTGGTATAAATATTTTATCCATTAAACAGCATGTGCCCCAGGCTGTGTTACAGTGGATTAAAAAGAGCCCAAGGCACACTCCTGTTTACTTAATCTGATAAAACTGTTTAAAATACGTGACAACTAAACCAATAATACAGATGAATGACAAGATATGGGTAAGTTCCCCTCTGGCTGGTTGAAGCATGGAGGTGGCCGCCGGCATTCTTAGCAGAGGGGACCAGGACAATCCTGGGAGCAGGAAAACACGGAGCACCTGAGAGACTGTTACTGGGTCCGTAGTAAGTCCCCCTTATTTGGCTGATAGAATTATTCTGGAGGGAATCTCGACTTTCCTAAGTCTGCCCGACAGGAAGAGGAGAGAGGGTGGTATATTTACCCAGAGGATTTCATGTGACAACTGGAGAGGAGGAGGCAGGCGAGGAGAGGGTGGACGGGGTCGGGACAGGATAAGCGAGTTGGGGGGGGCCCTGAGGGCGGGGCCGAGCCTCTGCCAGGCGTGGACTGCACCCAAGCAGGCAGAGGGACCAACAGCAGCTGAGCCCCGCCTGGGAGCGCTCTGCGGGGAGCTGGCCCTCCTCCAGGGCTGCCCAGAATAGCGCTCACCGGCCACTTACCTTGTGGCCAAACAGTGATTATGGAGAGTTCCAAAACAGAGCGTTCGCCCACCCCTTGGAGGCAGAAATTCTTTGTCAGGTCGGTAAACAGTGTTTAAGGCGGCCTGGGTTGTTTCGCACCCACAGTTCCGGGCTGTTGTAAATGCCTCCCTTGGTCTTTGAGTCTCTAAACTCCTGTGTCCTTTCAGTGCTAGCAAGTTCCCAGGGATTACAGCAGGTGCTTAACATTGTCCTCTTAGATTCAGCAAATGCTGATTGCGATCCCAGGGGCTGACACAGCTCACAGCTCCGGGGTACTGTTCCCACATGAACGGGGTGCCCTGGCCCTGTCCACCCCGGGAGGTGCACGTGGGGCCAACCCTGCTGTGGCCAGACCTGATTCAGCCACTGGGATACGTCGGTGAATACGTCAGTCAACACGTGCTGGCCACGCCCGCTGGTGTGTTCAGTGGGTGAGCATGGTCCCCAGTGTGGGGCCTGCAGGAGGCAGCCAATCGATGATTCTCTCTCATCATTAATGTTTCTCTCTCCTCTCTCCCTCTCCCTTCCTCTCTGAAATCAATAAAAAAATATTTTTAAAAATATAGGTGCATTTAAAACATTTTATCTCTATTTTCACTCATCTACCCAGATTTGTTCTTTATTAGCTCTGTCCGCTTAGGGAAACTATGGAAGCTGTGTCTGCGTCCCCTCATTTGCCAAGGGGGCAATGATTCTACAAAGCTCTCAGGAGCATTACGAGTATTCTGCGCCTGGAGAAGAAAGAACACCCCATGAATACCGGGCACTGTTATGCCAACATCCTATATGCCGGTCTGCGGTCTGCTCTAGAGCTGAATGCTTCCTTGTTCGTGTTTATCTAACATTCTGCTGCAGACAGGCCGTTATATTTACAACACCCGGAGCTTGGTTACGTGTCTCCTTAATTCTAACCATGATGTGAGCTCACACAGAGATGGGTGTTTCGGGGCCGTGACACAAGTTCATGCTCGTCCCCTTTTCTGCAGGAACGTCTCGGGAACAAGGGAACTGCTCCTGCAGCTGGAAATACCCGGCTTGCCAGCCAGGCCCGTCCTCAGCGGCTGCACGAGCTCACGGCGCTGTCATAGAATGAGCTCAGCTTGTGCTGGGGGAGGCCTCAGGGGAGACCAACAGCCCAGGGTGTCTCCCCGGCTCCCAGGAAGTGACCTGACACCCACCCCCTCCTCCGTGCATTGTGTGCGATAAGGATCGCGTCACTGCACTTGAACTTCCATGGGGGACGACCCAGGAGAGTGGGCAGGCCACAGGTTCACAGGGGACGGGGCTCTCAGGGGCTCTGCTCGGGGTCACCTGCCCTGGGAACCAGCCGGCTCCCCTGAGACGGCTCAGAAGGCTCTGGAACTCTCGAAGCCGGGTCACCACTATTTCCAGAGTAAATTCCTCAGCGTAGTAAAAGGATAATGGATAACCCCAGGACAAGGTGGTGCTAAAGCCTCATAGATCCCAACGTAAAAACGTGCCTTTAAATTCACATACACCTGGGCTGTGCACAGCTGGACTTGGACTTCACAGACAGCAGAGTGGGATCTCTGAACGACCAGAGCTGTGAGCGAGGAGCCGGGAGGAATGAAGGGCTGAGAGGGGCAGTCAGGGCTCAGCAAAGAGTGGGTGAGCAGAGCAACCCCAAGCAGCAGCTTCCCAACAGGCCGGGGGGAATCAAATCAAGCTGTGCATGTGTGTGTGCGCATGTATGTGTGTGCATGCATGTGAGTGTGTCTGAGCACATGTGTGCATGTGTGTGCGCGGGTGAGTATGTGTGCATGAATGTATATGCATGCAAGCAAGTGTGTCTGAGCACATGTGAGTGCACATGTGTGCATGCATGTGAGTGTGTGTCCGCGCACGTGTGCATGCATGTGTGTCTGTTTGTGTGTGTGCATGTGTGTGTGTGATGGATACAAGGTCTAAAGACAAGGACTTACAGTTACTACAGGAATTCGCTTTCTGAATCTGAGTGAACTTGACCGCTACAGAGGGAAAGCTGGTGCCCAAGCAGCCCCTCCCACACCTGCTCCACTCCTGAGGTCCACGGAACTGTCATCCTCAGGAGTGGGAGGGATCAGCGCCACTGTCCACACACACACACACACACACACGCACACACACACACGGACAGTTCCGGATGCCCGGTCTCATGCAGGGCCCGGCACCTGGGCGGCTGACGGCGCTCGTCCTCGCCTTGGCCACCGGCCCTGCAGGGGGACACCTGGGCCTGGACTTGGGTGCGTGCCCTTGACAGTGGCTTGGAGGCGGGAAGGACTGGTGTGCTGAGGGCAGAAGCAGCCAGGGCGCCGGAGCCCGTGACCACGGGGAAGGGGAAACAGGAGATGGAGCGGCCGGAGGAGACCAGCCCGTGCCACAGGCTTCGAGGACTTTCACTTATTCCGACTGCGGTGAGCAGCCTCGGGGGCGTTGGTCTGGCAGTGCCGACTCCTGTTTGAAAAGTAGTTCCCTCTGGCTTCAGGGAGGAGAGGGAGGAGGTGCTGAGAAGCTGCAGGCTGTGGGCTCAGGTGTCTGGGGGGAGGGCCGACAGGACTGGCCCTGGATGCCACATGGGGGAGGGGAGAGGAAGAGGAGTCGGGGACTTGGTGCAGGAATCAGACAGCTGCTCTATCAGGCCCTAGAGCAGATGTGACAGGCGTCTGCAGCTCAGGACAGAACAGGGATGGAGCCGAGACATCGGCGTCAGCAAGTGTGTCCCTACATTCCCAGGCCAAACTACGCAATCACAACGCCTTTGTGTCTTTAGCCTCCTAGGGTCTATGGTTCTCAAAGCATAAGGAGATGCTTGCTAGAGATATTCTCTCTCTCTGTCTCTCTGTCTCTCTCTGTCTCTCTCTCTCTATTATCTCATCTCTTCTCTTCTCTCTCCCTCTCCCCCCCCTCTCTCCCCGACCCCAAATGATGACAGTGATTGCTCTCATGGGCCCTGGTGTCCACCCGGACTGCTCTGACCGCATTCCTCCCGAGGCCCCGGCATCAGGGACTGCTCTTCCGCAGCCTCTTCACCTCCACCCCCGAGACCTGGCTCACAATTCGCCTCCGCCACGGCCCCTCCAGAGACCCGCTGCCCTCTCCAGTGGCCACTTCATCTCGCCCCCGTCATAGGCAGCCGTGCTCCACAAGGTGAACTCCCTGGACGCTAAGTGTCCCTTTGACTGCTTTTCTTGAGCATCCGACAGACGCTCATGCAGGAAAGAAGGCCATGAATTACAGCTCTCAGGCGACAGGCCCACAGCAGCCCGTTTATCACTGCGAAGACGCTGGCTGGGAAGCTCCTGGGGAGTCCCCTGCGGCCCCAGCGGGTGAGGGTCCCTGCAGGACTCCTGTCCACCAGGGGGCAGCAACTCCGGCAGAGTGGACCCACGGCTCTTCTGCCTAAAGACAACCTTCAGAATCATCTGAGTTTATTTTCATAGTTACCAGGGGAAACGGACCCAGCAGTGGGGCATATATTTCCACATCCATGAAGGTGGCTGTATATAAATGGGCCCATCGTTTGTAAATGTGATCATTACACGGCACTACAAGCACTGATGGCACATTGGGGGGGAAATAGAAGATGCCAGATGCACTAGAGAAAGTGCCTTTGTAACTGTGGGTGGATGCGTGAGGACTCTTCTCACACCAGCAGGGAAGGCTGATTTAGAATGAAACCAGTAGACAAAGCCTTGATGAAGGAGACAATTTCGGGAACTCATCTACCTGCCAGAAATGCCCTGGGCAGCATTGGCTACTGAACGGTTACAAACTCAACAGAGACAGCTTACAGACAAAGAAATGGAGATAAATCTACCTATTATCTATCTATCATCTATCATCTATCTATATCTATCATCTACCTATCCTCTATCTATCTATCTATCTTCTATCTATCTATCTATCTATCTATCTATCTATCTATCATCTTCTATTAAGTGCCCAAACTGGTATTATGAATTTGCTATGGAATATGTAGAGAAAATGTTCTCTCCAGATTTTCAGAAAATAGCACTATCAATTCCATCAATTAGCAACCTGAGAGTTATCAACTCTCAAAGAAAAATCCTCCATTTAAAGATGCTTGAGGCCTCCTCAGCAGTAAACAGTCATGACCCCACCGGAACAAGCAATTGCCGTCCAATGTTAAATGTACTTCGTGTCTTTACTGAAACAACGAAGAAGAGAGCGCTCTTACCAGTTGCCTTTTGGGTTGATGAACTGCTGCACCGCGTAGCCAAACTGGGCGTCCGCAGGCCCGGAGAAGACCCTCGCGTCCGGGAGGCCCACGTTGTATGCCACACAGCAACGCAGGAGGCCTAGCAAGGAAAACAAGGACAGGCCATGTACACCCTGTGAATACAACCTATGCTCTCACTCTCCACGGCCACTTCACAAACGGCTCCCTTGACATCATTCCCCTCCTCCTCAGTTTGCCAAGAAATAGTAGCTCCTGCCTTTAGGCACTGACTTGGGGCCCTGAGAGTTACCAGCTCTCAAAGAATAGAAAGTACTGGCACCAGGCTTAGCACTTTATATTCGTGATTCATTATCTCATACATCTTCACAAGCAGCCCTGGGAGACGGCTGCTGGTAGCACCATTGTTTTCCAGAGACCTCGGAGATAAGGAGTCGCACAGGTGGAGGTGATAAGAGTGAGGAGAGGGTTCGAGCACAGGACACCCTGCACAGGAGCTCGGCCTCTGACCGCAGGTCCCCTCCAGGGATTTCTGAATGACTCCAGTCCTTAAGCCTCCCACCGGCAGGGCTGAGGCGTCTCCTATTTCTGCTGAAACTCCCTGCAGATCCTGACACGGAGCCTATGAAATGTCTACTGAAACGCGCGGTTGACACATCGAAGAAGCAGAAAAACCACAGCTCCCGGAAAACCGTGTCGTTCCTTCCCGGAGGAGATCCTTATTGAGGAGGAAAATGCAGAGGGAACTGTCAGGCGGTTTTGCTTTTGGAGACTTCTTTCTGACACTCAAGGAACGATCATCGCTTTCAAAAACAAGAAAGACCAGGAAGGATGAAGCCTCGATAGAGAGATTTGAAAAAACCTGGTTTCCAATGGAAAGGGGATGAGGGGAGAGAGAGTGGTAGATTCTGCACCAAGAGCATTAATGTCAGCTGCCCTCCATCCTGTCCTCCACCCTGTCCTTCGCCCTGTTGAGAGAGACACATCCATTGGTTGCCCGAGCCCTGACCAGGGCAAGAGCCTGCAACCCAGGTACGTGCCCTTGACCAGAACCGAATCCGGGACCCCACAGTCCACAGGCCGACGCTCTGTCCACTGAGCCACACCGGCGAGGGCAGCATTCCTTTAAGCTGAAAAAAACCCTCCTCCTGGGCAAGACCAAAGTGGATCACAGTGCGAAGAACCGTCTGCCCCGGCACGTCCCCGCTGCAGGAGCCACTGCTCTCTCTGCGGGAGCCTGCCCAGGCGCCCCCCTCCCTGCGCTCGGACCACGCACAGCACACTCTCCACCCGGTGCCCCCAGCGATGAGCGCGAGGAAGACCTCTCCGTCTGGTGTTTTACTCTCAGCATCACTGTGCGCTCCTGAGGCCGTAGACATCTCCCTGAGAAATGTTAAAAGGCGCAGCCCCGTCCCCTCCAACGCCCCACCACCCGGGGCAGTTTCCACGGAAGCTCCCGAGACCGCGGGACGGAGGAGAGGGTGCGGCCTCGCGGCCCTTTGCTGAGTCATCCCCAGTGCGGCACCACAGGAGCCAAGGAGCATTATGAGCCCGGACCCCCGGGAAGCCACAGCAGCAGGAAGTGGGCTTACTCAGGCCCTGAAACTGAGAAAACAGCCTGCAGACTCTGCAGTCAGCTCATCCTCCCCCAGAACGGGGGGGGGGGGGGGGGGGGGGGGCAGCGGGACGCAGTCACGGTCCGTTAGATCACTCGCACACAGACCACAGGAACCCATCGTCAGTGCGCGGTCTCCATGAGAGAATGATGAAGATAAAGCAGAAGTCGTGTGGAACCCCCCTCCTCTCAAAATAAAGCAACCACACTTAGGAAGTGCAGGCGACTGGGGAAGGTCCGCGATGGGAAGGACCTGGGCCCGAGGCCTGGGTTACGGCTTCAGGGCTTTAAGGAAGGGCAGAACCACTCGCACAGAACAGTCCTCACAGCCCCTCGGGCCAGCGGTGGGGCACTCCCCGTGTTCCGTCCTATCCTATGTAATACAAGGCTAATATGCAAATTGTCCCCTTGACCTGGAGTTCGACCAGGGGGCAGGGCCGGCCGGCCAACCGAGACCGCAGCCCCTCCCCACAACAGACCCCACCTGTGCATGAATTCGTGCACTGGGCCTCTAGTTAAGAAATAAATAACAATGTGATTCTTCTTTAAAAGTCTTTGTTTTGCGTGTCAATTTTTTAAAAATTTTTATATTTTAAAAAATATATTTTATTGATTTTTTAAAAGATATTTTTATTGATTTCAGAGAGGTAGGGAGAGGGAGAGATAGAAACATCAATAATGTGAGAGAGCAACTGCCTCCTGCACGCCCCACATGGAGACCAAGCCTGTAACCCAGGCATGTGCCCTGACCGGGAACTAAACCATGACCTCTTGGTTCGTAGGTCGACACTCAACCACTGAGCCACCCTGGTTGGGCAAAAGGTAGACATTTTTAAATGGTAACATAAAAAATGTATGCTGAGCAATAGAAAGAATAAGAATTAAATACAAAGCACCATTTTACATCCATCAAACCACGAATAGTAAAAAAAAATAAAATAACTACAAAAAGTGAATTAAAATCTCGCATTGGTGAGCGAGGTACACACACCGCTGATGAGACAGCAGGGCTGGAGGTGCTGCGTCTGGGACCAGGGGAGCCCCTCCAGGAAGTGGCCGAAGGGAAGAGGGAAAAGGCTCCTGGTGGAGGATATTTATAGCCGTGTGTACATCAGGGACAAAACCCACAGGAAGCAGCCTACATATCCGCCAGGAGACAATAGCTAACCACCCCCCCACACTCCCCACACCCCCCACACCCCCAGGACTCGGTAAAGTAAAGTTCAAGCCTGAGCCTGAGGCCGCAGGAAACGCACACACAAAAGATAGCAAGTGAGGGTGAGTTCGCCACTTCTTTTCATTGTAAAGGGTGAGTCTGTCCGTGAAAAAGCACATTTACACTTAAAAATAGCAAAGGAAAGATATGTAAATGTTTCCTATTAAGATGACTATGTAGCGTGTGTCATTCTTTTCTAGAAAAATATTAAAACTTCCTGCTTTATAAAGAAAAGTGAAATTATTATAAACTGAAATCATTAATCAAGTTTAGTGTTTCAGTGGCTATATTCACCTCCCAGTTACTGAATTCTAGTTTATTTTTATGTTAACTTTTTTTTTTTAACCAATTATTTTCTGGGCGCCCACTCTGTCCTGGGTCCTGGGAATGCGGGGACAGGCAGGGAGAGGTGATCGTAGAGAGCACTCGGTGGGGGTCACGCTGAAGATAAATGATGGGGCTCCGTAATGAGGACAGAAGAGGGGTCCGAAGAGGACGGGAAAACACCTCTGCACGGTCCCGATCCTTCTGGTCACCTTGTCACCTGTCTACAGAGCTGCCCTGGCCAGACCCTTCTAGACCAAGTGAAGTATGGTAGCAATCATCTCAGGTAGAAACTATAGTTTAACTCTAACCCTGTTGTTTGGCTTAACAATAGAAAAGTTATTTTGATTTTCTGGATTGTATAAATCATCCCATTCGATTGAATGACTATCCCATTGATTGTGATCTTACTGGTTTTAGAAAGCACATTCTTCTGTACCTGGAAACAGGACAGCACAATTATCCTAAATTGTCTTAGTGGCCACAGATAATGCATTCCAGTTCACTCAGTGGTCCCAAGACCAGGACAGCACAATGACTCTAAATTGCCTCGATGGCTCTAGATAATGAGTTCCTGGCAACTCAGTGGTCTCAAGATAAGGTGTTTCTGTCAATTCAGTGACCCCGAGACCCAAAACTATAATTAACATGCTTAATTCTGCTTCTGTAAACTGCTTTTTTGCAAACCAGGTTCCTCATTCCAAACCTTGAGATGTAATCAATACCTTTGTGATCTTTGCCTATAAGTCTGGTTTTGCCACCATCTTATCACTATGAGATTTGGAGAATGGCCCCTCATAGTCCCGGATTGCAATAAATGTGACTCTTTAATTCGACTTCTTGAGGCGTCCTTCTGTGATTCGTGGGGTACATTACAACAAAAGGAGGAACTTGACAAAAGCACACACAGCCTCTAAGGGGGGGACATCAGCTGGAAGGATATTTTAGCGCCTGCACACAGCCTTGCCGTAGAGGGCTTCTGCACGTCCTATTTGGAGAGGAGCGCGAGTTCTGGGCTTGGCACTCCCGCAGCAAGTGGGCCTCTGACCTGTGTCCCTGCAGCTGACCCCATGCCCCACGGACAAGCAAAAACGGCGTGGCCCTGCCTCCTCTGCATCGCAGTCCACATGACGGAGGGGACCATTGCCACACAAGGGTCCTCGTGAGCAGGTCACCTCAGTGGGGCCAGGGGTGGGAAGGCTTCCGGGATGCACAAGCAGGGAAACTGAGGCTTGAGTGACGTGCAGACGGAGGGCTGGGGGCCAACCTGCACCTCACAAAGACGGAACCCGGGCCCAGGGGAGAGACCAGGCCCTGTGCTCGTTTTAAAAAATGTATTTCAGAGAGGAAGGGAGAGGGAGAGAGAGATAGAAACATCGATGATGAGAGAGAATCATTGACCGGCTGCCTCCTGCACGTCCCCTACTGGGGATGGAGCCCGCAACCAGGCAGGTGCCCTGAATGGGATTCAAACAGTGACCTCATAGATCGACGCTCAACCACTGAGCCACGCTGGCCAGGCTGTGTTGTGCTCTTAACAGGGCGAAGGCTAGATCTCCTGAACCACAACAAAACAAGAATGGCAAAAGGACACGCATACAGGAAAGCCTGATTATTTGGGGCAAAAAGTAAATACTGTCATAACAACAGGGATTCTGCATTCGATGCGCTACAGCAACGGTCTCAACTGTGGGTCGCGACCCTTTGGGGTCGGACGAGCCTTCACAGGGTCGCCTAAGAACATCG